CTTCTTTCACCCCCTCTTCTCTTCCCCTCTCTCCTCTTCTTGGGAAAGTAGCAAGGAAACTCTATTCGAAGCAAAGGTTATAAAATACAGTGTCCAGTAAGAGCTGGGGAGGGGAATGTGTGATCTGAGTGTAGTGTATGAAAAACTTTTCAGCAACAAGAAAAAAACAACGACAAAACAAAAAGAAGTGCTCACAGCACCCCCTGGGTGAGCAGCTCCTGCGTCCTGACCTCCACAATGCCCGGGGCTCTGAGGACTCTCGCTCATGTGGCCCACCACCAATCTGGACTGTGTAGCCCTCTCTGACCTGTACTCTTTTTTTGCTCTGGATAAAGTAATTTTGCTTCTTCTATAAAAAGAAACAAAACAAAACAAAAAAGAAAGAAAGATAAGAGGGACAATGGACCACACGGGTGAGCAAGTATGTTATAAGCACGGGCCACGAGGGTCTGAATTCCCATTTTTCAAATACTGTGCTCACAAATTTAAGCTGAAAAAACAAACAAACAAACAAACAAAAAAAAAAAACCCCAAACCTAAAACAGAGTACTTTTAAAATTGTGTATATATTTACAGTGTACTACATGTTTTGAGCCACTGTGGATTGGTTCAATCACGCCCCACCTCACACATTTATTTTTTATGGCGAGACCTCACAATCTATTCTTTTAGCAGTTCTCAAGTAGGAAACATTGTTATTGGGCTGGCGAGATGGCCCAGCTGGTAAAGGTGTTGCTGCCAAGGCTGACGGTCAACGTTCCATCCCCAGGACACGTGGACAGGGAACTCACTCCTATAAGGTGTTCTCTGCCCTCCACATGACCCATGGACGGACACACACATAAAACAAAATACCTCAAGTAACGATGTTAGCTATTTACTATATCTTACACAATTTCCACATGAACCATGAATTACCTTCACAACCAGAAAAGGGGAGAGGGAGAGGCATGGCTAAACCAGGCACAACAACAACAAAGGAACCCACCTACAACAAGCTTACAGTGGTGATGTGCACAGCAGTCCTGGTCACATCATCAACATGCCAGGTGCAGTTCAGGTTCCTAATCACAACGCTAGCGTATTACAGACAGACGTGGAAAGGAAAGCCAGGGCATTACATCATCCTAGCTGCCGAGTATGAGAGAGTGCAGTGGGCCAGACTCACTGACAGATACTACAGAAAAAAGAGCCCTCAACTTATGAGGAAAAAAGACCCCGAACAGTTAACTCAGTTGCCATGACCTGTTTCCAGCCTCCCATATTTTGACAGCTAATCCGTAATTGTTTTGTCCCCTATTTCCTGTATATGATAACATAACCAAAAAGCAGCCACCCTTGCACGTCACTGCCAATGTTCCTTGAGGAAGATGGTCACTCCTTCTCAGAGTACCTGCAGTACGGTGCCTATGCTGGTTTTTTCTCCTGCCTGGAAGGTTCTTTCCTCTGTTATGGATAGGGCTGGCTCTCTCCGGTCTTCAAGTCTTAGCTTAAGCCAGCCCACCTTGTACAGGTCTACCCACATCAAAGAACCTGAAGCAGACCTGTGGTCAGTCTCTACCCCACCATCACCTGTTTAGGTATGGATTTTACCACCTGTTTACCTCTTATCACCATCTCAAACCATCTGCAGCTCATTTCTTCCTTATACTCCCTCCCCCTCCCTTGATGGAGCACTCAAGAGCAAACTCAGATCTGTTTTATTTACTAAATGCCTTTTGCCTGAAATAGCACCAGGTCAAGTGGGTAATCCAAACACCCATCTGGTTCAGTAGGTGGGCATGCAGTGTATGGTTATTCCACTCCACAGTCTGGGGAAATCTATGGACAGTCCACGTTACCAGCAATCTTCAAACGCAAGCACACAAACATGAATGTCATTAATAGCAGGAAAAATCCAACAGGTTGAGTCTGAACTAGCTTTTCAGAGCAGTGAGGGAAACACTCTATAACCCCACCACCACTTTGAAAGTTCTGCTGTTTTACTTTAAAAAAAAAATCATTTTAGTTATAAGTGTGTGTGTGTGTGTGTGTGTGTGTGTGTGTATGTCTGTGCACTCTAGTGCAGGTGCCTGCTGAAGCCAAAAGCATTGTATTCCCTGGACTTGGTATGTAGGTGGGTGTGAGTCACCTGACGTGGCTACTAAATACTGAAATCAGGTTCTCCCTTGATAGGAGCAACAAAAGCTCTTAACTGCTAAGCCATCTCCTATAAACATAATAAATAAAATAATAAACAAAAGTGATACAGATGGAAAGTGACAAGGGAAGAGACCTGAGGCCAATCATGGGCCTTCACCACACTCAGGCGAATGGTGAATACACCTGTACACATGTATACACATGTACACATGTACACATGTACACACACACACACACATTTTCCTTCCCCCTAAAATAAGCTAACAGGAAGAGACATTCACCTAACCGCCTAGTAATATATGTAAAACATTCAACTACCCAGTGGTAATTACTATTATACTTGCTGACAATAATTTATCAACCCAGTTGATAAATATTACTATACTTGGGGGCATCTTTCTAGTCCTTTTCTCCCCCATGAAGTTTTCTGTCATTCTGTCACATACACTGGAATTCAGCACAGCCATTGCTATGATCACAACAGAAGCATAGCTATGTTGCACTAGACATCAGCAGGAAAGGCAGACCGAATGAGAACAAGGCACAGGGTGTGAGGACAAACCACACAGGACTCCGGGACCAGCTGGGTAGGCTAAGTCTCTGATCCCAGTAGCCACAGGGTTGAGCCAGGAGGATATCAAGTTCAAGACCAGTCTGCATCACACAGTGAACTTGAGCAAAGCCTAACCTACATTGTATGACATGGTTAAACAAAGAAATAAATAACAACACAACTCTATGAACTTGCACAATAATGTGAATGCACGCAATAGCAAGAACTGTAAATGTAAAGTGGCAAAAATCAGAAATTCTATCTCATCCATATTTTACCATGAGAATATTAAATATAAAACATTTTAGGGAGTCAAGATGTGGTCTACTTTGTGCCCTGAGCACTCAGAATGTGTCAGTAAGAGCAGGTTATGTGTAACCTTTTCCAGTTTCTCTCTCAGTCAGTGTCATGGGCCACAAGAATATGAAATAAGAGTACAGCTGTATATAATAAACTATACCTTGACCGACCAAGGAGTCCTTCAAGAGGATAGCCATTTATCATGGAATATTTGGTGTTATTCAGCTTTCAGTAGGTATCAGCTGTCTTCTGCTATGAAATTCTTGTGTCTCCATATACTATTAGGTCATATGGCAAAAAGTTTAGCTTCTCAGACCTGCTGCTGATCCACTATGTAACACCCCTGCAGGGCCTAGGAGACAGGCAGACTGTAGATGCATAGCTTTGTTTCTTGAGCAAATGAAGCTCAGACCACCCCTTGCCTTCAGGCCTAGTAGCATTGAGAGCCATTGTCTCAGGACAATAGGGTGTTTTGCATAACCAGGTGCAGTAAAGACTGGAGCAGACTGCCTGGTCAGAGCAGAGTGGCATGGCTGGGGGAGAAGAGAACAAGCTAGAGTTTCTGTAGATGGTAAGGCAGGCTGGCTCAGGCCGAGGAGTAAGGAAAGGGAGGAAAGATGGAGGATGAAGGAACAGGGGACGAAGAGAAGATCAAAAACATAAGGGCTTAGTTACTATTAGACTATGAGAGGACAGAAAAAGAAGGGACAGAGAGAAACTGAGTGTCAGGACGGAACTGAAGCTATGTAGGCAGAATTTTGTCTTAGAGAAATAAAGGACAAAAGAGCATGGTGTACATAGATTCTTTTCCCTCAGATGACCCCCTGCTGGATGTAGTGTCTTCCCCAGGAGTCTGGGAAGGATTTTCTCAGGGCAGGCTCCTGGGAAAATTCTGACAAGTCAGCACTGGAAATGAAGGCAATGGGCAGGTGCCCCATCCTGTGACAGCACCTGCAGGCTAGTGAGTGCAGAGCCCCAGAAGGGCTCATCTGTCCCAAACTAACAGTGCGAGTGAAGGAGGGCCTCATTAACTGTCTCTCTGGAAAAGAAAGATGGCAGGCTGAAGTCTGATGGCTCAAACAGTGGCATTCAGAGCCAGCCAGGGCAGCTCAGGGGACTTTGTTCATTAGTGGACCTGCAGACTCATGACTTCACAAGCCACACGCAGGTTGAAATCCCAGTATGTTTTTGCTTTGTTTGAGACACGGACTGTACTGGTTAAGATTCTGTCAACTTGACACAAGCACCAGCCATCTGGGAGGAGTGAACCTCAACTGAGAAAGGTCTCAATCAGACTGGCCTACAGGCAGGGCTGTGGGGAACCTTCTTGATCAATGATTGATGTGGAGGGCACAGCCCACTGTGGGCAGTGCCATCCCCGGGCAGGTGGTCCTGTGTAGTGGTATTTGCTCAACTCATGTCCTAATAAATTCCCTAATACTCCTTGGCAGAATCCTGTGGATTTCTCACTTTAGTCCTGGACTGGATAAGAAAGCAGGCTGAACAAGCATGAGGAACAAGCCAGTGAATAGCATTCCCCCATGGGCTCTGCTTCAGTTCTTAACTCTGTGTTCCTGCCCTGAGTGATGGAGTGTGACCTGAGAGTTGTATGATGAAATAACTGTTTTCTCCTCATGTTGATTTTGCTCATGGAATTTTATCACAGCAACTGAAAGCAAGCTCGCACAGGGTTCCCATGCACTCCAGGATGCCTTGAAGTCCCTATGTGGCTGAGGATCACCTCAAAGTCCTAATCTTCCTGCATACACCTCTCAAGTGCTAGGATTACAGGCACCCAGCTTCCCACACTTTTTTTTTTCTTCAGTTATTCACATCTTTGCTGGACTAACACCAACAATCTTGTGAACCATCACCTGCTAATGGGCTATGGGGTTCACTTGAGAGGAACTTGTGGTTCAGCCAGGCCCTGGAGCAGCTTGAATATACTCCCTGGCTACTAGAATTATAGCCTAGATGGAAGAAACCCTGAATTTGTAAGATTTACCTGTAACATTAACACTGGAGGTCAGTAGAGGCACAGAGTTGTTTCCACTTGGAGAGCCTATAAAAATAAAGAGAAGCATTAGTAAAGCACACTGAAGAATCAACTTGGTATGAGCCCTCTGCCCTTCTGTGAAGGTGTGGGGCTCCAGAGGGTATGCACACTGAGGCCAGCTTTGACTGTTTTTGTGTGAGAGGTCAGAAAAGACACCACACCATGCAAAGACAGCATGGCCAGGCCTCTGAGGACGAATGCAGAATGTGTCCTTTACAGACGCCACCAGGTTGATGAGCAGTCCATTGTACAGGCTTACAGTCAGGCTGTCTCCACTTCCTGGGCTGCAGGGGGGGCTGGGAGGGTCTTGCATTTTGAAGGAACTGTGAGCTTGAAGAAAATGAGAGGCCCCTTTAGTGCATGTGTATCCATCACGCATATACTCCATGCCTAGTCCGATATAGTGAGTCTTTAAGCCTGGGCCTGTATGCAGATGAGGGGGAGGGGAACTCACAGCTGCAGATGGGCAAGGCCTGAGGATGGCAGTGGTATGGGGGAGGGGAGGTAATGCCACAGGAAGTTCTGCTTGTACCACTGTTGCTATGAGACATCCTGGAGCTGTCAGTGGGTTTGAGGCTGCACTGTTAGATCTTTCACACAGAACACAGCAAGCTTCCGTAACAAACACTTGCACAGTGCTCACTATGCGCCACCCTCTGGTGACGTCAGCTCTGTTCCGGGTGGTGTGGACCATCCTGGAAAGGCCCTCTTGTTCACGGGTTCCTCCTGGTCTTCTTGCCACCAGCACCCCTAGTTTCACTCAGTGGAGAGATGATATTTGTAGGTCTCTCATTTTTCAGTGAAAATCTCAGTAGGACTTTTCATTTTTAAGCTAGGACCTTAAGATTTGGAGGGAGGGGGAGAAGAGAATCCTGTGCTCCAGGTGGGCACCTTTTAGTGGTTTACTTTGGAACTGGCATAAAGACAACCCACGAGGGAAGGGAGTTCAGGTAATACTACTATTGTTCCTGTCACAGAGACCAGTGCTATTGAGGTCAGGCTAAGCCCTGTTCTAAGTCCCTCCCAATGTAAAGAGACACAAAGGTGTTTTATGTTTCTGACATAACTCACTTCCAACAAACTCCCTCACTCAAAACAGAAATCCAAAACAAACCAAAGAACCTTTAAAACACAAAGATAGCAACAACAACTTTGAAATATTGACCAACTGACAAATCTCTTTCTTATATGCAAATATCTTCCTCTGGATGGGACTATCATCCAGTGTGAGATGGAATTCAGACAGGTCCTGATCAGACCAGACGTACTTGGCAGGCACCAAGCAGTGGCTGACAATATTAAATGCTTCCTCTCAGCCTCCTGGAAAGTCTATGGCAGGAGCCCTATTCTTCAGTGACAGGAGCTGAGGCCCAGACAAAGCTGCTCTGCTCATGAGTGAGTCTGGATGTGGATCGGGCTGATGAATTTCAAAGCCTGCATAGATCTATGTTCTCCTCTCCATCTTCCTGGTGTGACATCACCAACTGCTCCTTTCTCAATCAAGCTATCCTTTGGTTCCTCCCTCTTCTGGCTTCACTGTCCCATCTATTAGCAAGAGGTCTGTCCCACTGCCCAAGACCCCACAATAAAGATCAACCTGTCTGGACTGCTGCATAAGCATCAATCACTGTCACTCCTGAGACAGAATTTAGTGGCAAAATATTTGAATGTTTAAACAGACATTCCATGCTTTCAGTTATAAGTTAATACAAATTATTTCATTCCCCTAAGGTTGTTGAAAGTGTATCTGTCATTTGCTATAAAAAAAAAAAAATACTAACAGCCTGCCATCCTGCCTCCTGAGTGCTGGGATTAAAGACGTGTGCCACCAACCCAGCATCAGCATCAGCACGATAAATTATTATTTTGGTATTTTGAGACAGGGGTGCTCTATATAGCCCTGGCTGTCCTGGTACTCACTATGTAGACCAAGCTGGCCTGGAACTCACAGAGATCAACCTGCTTTTGTCTCTCAAGGGCTAGGATTAAAGGCGTGTGCCACCATGTCAGGAAGAATATTTGAAAACCAGAAGTTCAATGACATTATCTTCTGTCTTCTACAGTATTCTGGACAGCATTATGGAATGAGAACAGTAGGAGCTAACATCAGCTGATGTGGCCTGCTGATGAAATGGTAGAGTCTGGGCTCCAATCTGAAGTCAAACGTGTTACTTGTACTGTAAGTAAGTTGGCTTACGAAGTCTCAGATTCTCAGCTATAAAATGGAGATAGTATATGAGGATCCTAGGGGTGAATTACAGTGGAGAACATGGCAGAAGATGTACCTAGCCAATATTAGCCACATCTCAGTATGACTGCTAAAATCTCCATGCATTGTAATGCTGCTTATACAGATTACATGTTGCATGCAAAGACTAGACGAGTTATTTGGTTTTGTTTTATAGTTTTTAGAGGTATGGTTTCCCTATGTAGCCCAAGCTGGCCTTAAACTTCCTTTGAATTGCAGGGATTACCAGGGGGCCTGGTCCTGTTGATTACTCACTTAACAAAACCTCCTTTTAGCACAGTTTGAAGGTGACTAGTCTATAGAACTAAATTCATTGGCTCTACTAGTTCACAACATCAGGGCATCAGAGCATTTCAAGTTTTCTAAATAATCTCTCTAGTGAGACATTTATAAACAGAACGCAGTATTGAACAACAACAAAAATGTGTTATGACTCCACTCTCCTCTACTCAGTAACTCAGAGTAAACAGACTTATTTGTGCACGCAAGGCAAGCAGGTGGAGAAAACGAATGAAAATTTCTCCATAAATGAAACTAAAAACACACACAACAGCTGGACAGAACTGAAAATCACAAAGCCTTTGGTCACATAAAGCTACTTACCCTAGTTTACTATTTCCCTAGCGACTGGACTCTAGTAGGTACTAAGGGGAAACAGAATCCTCACAAACTCAGAGTTCTCAAAGTGTCCAAAAGGTCAAGGCCCCGAAGGGAAACAAAAATCCCCAACACAGAAGGCTGCCAACACATTTTGTTACGGCCTTAATGACGTCGTGGGCTCTGGACAACAGAGACCTGAAGGTTGCTGCGCAGGTGACTCGTAGCCCTAGTGGCCTCGGCCCGGGCATAAGCCTCACCTGCGCGGGGGGAACAAGGCGCGCACACCCAAGGCTCCCCACCCAGCCGCACTGGTCCTGGAATCCAACTTGTAGCGTCTTGGGGGGCCTTCTGCTAAAAGCTGTGTGGGTATTCGAAAACCAGATCTGTTTCTGCAGCAGTCAGCGGACATACTTCAATCTACAGGTCTTTCTACCAGCCACAGAACTCCAGGGAAAGGCTGAGTCCTCGGCAGAAGGGCCACCCCAGGAAAACTCAACAGGTTGCCGGCACCACGCCGGCCTGCCGCCCCCAAGCCCGGAAAAGCCAGGTGGCCCCGGGACAAGCGGGAAACCCGCCCCAACCTCAGTTCCCCTCGGCCCGCGGAGTCTACGGCAGATGCGTGGAACTTTCCACGAGGACGCCGGACGTGGAGACGCAGGCCGCCCCAGCGCGCTTCCTCTCCGCGGACCTACCGTCGGCCGCCGCCCCCGGCAGCGCCAGCACCTGCAGCGCGCCCAGCAGCAGCAGCAGCGCGGCCCGCGCGCACAGCGCCATTGTTCCCAGGGCCCCTGAGCGCCCGCAGCGACCGCACGGCGCCCGAGCTGCCCTCCGCGCACGCGACCGCTCCGCGTCCCCTTCCGCCGCGTCCCGCTCCCCCGCAGCGCCGCCGGCCTCGCCGGTCCCCCGAATGACCAAATAGGGCGCGGGCCGGGCTGGGGCGGGGCCGGGGCGTGGTCCGCAAAGTCAGGAGGGGCGTGGCCCACAGGAGGCGGGGCCGGGGGAAACTGCCGAACCAGAGGGGCGTGGCTCTGAGAAGAGGGGCGAGACCGAGAGGGGGCGTGGCCGAAGGAGGCGGGGTCAGGGCGTGGCTCTTCGAACTGAATGAGGCCTAGCCGAGAAGGGGCGGGGCGCTCGGAGGCGGGTGAGGGCGTGGCCTTTCATGCGGGGCGTGGTCGGAGCTGGGTGCAGGGACCACGGCGCCCCTTTTCTCTGCCCCTGGCTGGCAGTGTTCTTGCCCGACGTCCGGAAGACAGGCTTTGTATAGAAGTTTTCGGGTGAGGATTGGGGCGTGTGCGGCTAGTAGCGAGAAAGGAAGTCGCAGGCTGGATGACTGCAGAGGGAGCTCCTCAGAGGAGTGTAGGAAGGTCGGACTCTACCTAAGAGCTGACAAACTCAAGTTCCAAAGTAAATATCACGATCTTCATACTCTAGTTGCTCCTCCCTTTTACGGCATATGTGCGGAAACAACTAGAGTGGGCGATGCGGCTCGCAGAACTGTTGGAAACTTTGCATCTATAACCTCGGACCCTCTCTGCATGGAGTCCGCTGACTTGTCTCAGGACAGGCTGTTGTGATCTAGTTTTTTGACAAAAATCCCTCTTAAGCCCCTAGAGCCAATGCTCCCAAAGACTGAATTTTGACTACACTCAGAACTCTAAAATGGTATGTGACTGGTGTAGACTCCTCAACTAATGTTGAAGACAGATCCAGGGCAATGCAGCTCTCTCACACCTGATCCAGGGCACTTTGAAGATAAGCTAAAAACATGGTTATGAGAAATACTTTTTTTTTTTTTTTACCAGCAAAGCTTATCGGTTATAAATGTGTCCTGATCATGGATTAACTGGTTGATCTGTTCTACATTTACAAGACTTACACCTGAGGTTGCAATCAGCCAACCCCAAAAGACCGTTATCTACCACAGGCTTAAAAAAAAACAAACAAACAGTTGTCCGTTTAGGATTTGGTGGTTCTGTTTCTGAAGAATCTGGCCATGGGACTAGTAAGTGCTTCCAGACATGGACTAGGAAGTAATGTTCTGTAGAATGGAAGTTTGCCTTGACTCTGAATGTTGAAATGCGGTGCCCAGGGTGGTGATATAAAGGTTTGGGCATTGGGGAGGTGATTGGGTCAGAAGAACAGAGCTCTGAACAACGAAATTAGTACCTCATGAAAGTGGCCTGAGTGAAATTTCCACACACACACCCCATCCCCATCCCTGCTACTACGAAGAAACAGTAAAAAATAGTCTATGAGACCAAGGGTCCTGAACAGACACCAAATCAGTTGCTGGCATTGCCTTGGACTTCCCAGCCTCCAGAACTGCGCCAAGTTTCTGTTATGCATAAATTAATCAGTCTAAGGTACTTTGTTACAGCAACAAGAATGGATAGAGACAATGTGAAGACAAGATGTCTACTTGACAATTATTCCCAGGACTGACCTTGATGGGGGCTCCCCCAGAATATCTGCTGCCTGATCCCCACACCATGATATGAATGGATGATTTGTTTCATTTTTCAGGCAGAGTCTCACTATGTAGTCCACAGTGTCTTCCAATGCATGGCGATCCTCCTGCCTCAGCCTCCCAGGTGATGGGATCACAGGGATGCACCATCATGCTAGGTGCTTGCTTTGTTTAGTGATAGCTCATTGTGACTAAAAGTTCTCTAGACATACCAGCGTGTCGACGACTACGACTCTGTCTTTGCTCATCTTCCTATAACAGAATGTGAAGTGTCAGAATCAAAATGGACTCATGTTAACCCTACCAAAAATAAATCTGAAAAGTTACAAAGGAAAAGTACTTATACTAAGGAAACACTTGATAGAAACTATCACAAAAGATTGCCAAGACCACAAGCTTGCACAGAAGCCACCAGAATCTTTATCCAAAAAGTACTTTCGGCAAGCGTGTCTGTCCAGTAGTTATTTCACCTCAGACTGACGCCACTCTTGCTATTGTGGCAGAGGGAATGTTTCAAGAGCACTGATGCAGTCTACCCTATGTCTTTAAACAGGCCCCTAACTGGTGTAGCAGCACGGGCCTGTAATCCCAGCCCTTAGCAGACAGAGGCAGGAGGATTGCTGCAAGTTCAAAGCAATCTGAGCTATACAGTGAGTTCCAGGTCAGGCTGAGCTGAATATATAGTGAGACCCTGTCTCAACCAAACCAGCAGCCAGGAATGGAGGCACAGTCCTGTGATCCAATCACTTGGGAGGCTGAAGGAGGATTGGGAATACATGGTCATCTTCAGCTTTTAGCAAGTTTGAGGCCAGCCTGGACTACATCAGACCCTAACTCAATAAACCTGTCCCACATTGATCTGCCTGGTCCAAGATCTCAGCATCTAAAACCATGAGGTAGCAAAGAGATAGAACATATGTGCATCCCAGGTCTTAAGGGTCCCACAGCGGCCATACCCCAGGGACATGTACCTGAAGGTCATAGGCAGGTGTAACAGTTACCTGCTACCTCACTAGGGGCGGTGCTTCAGGGCATGGCTCAAACAGCTCCCACTACATCTCCCCCTTTTGTCTAAACAAGAAGGTTCTAACCTAACACAAAACTATATACAATAGGAATGATTATTAAATATTGTCCAGGAGAAATAAAGGGTAATGACATAAACAAATGGAATTACAACCAACAAGAACAACATCAAACAAGTTTTTGTTTTTTGTTTTGTTTTTCGAGACAGGGATTTTCTGTGTAGTTTTGGTGCCTGTCCTGGAACTCACTCTGTAGACCAGGTTGGCCTCGAACTCACAGAGATCTGCCTGACTCTGCCTCCCAGAGTGCTGGGCTTAAAGGCGTGCACCACCGCTGCCTGGCTATACTAATTATCTTAAATAGGAATATAAAAATAGTTTACATTTGTATCAATATACAAGAATCCATAACCATGCAAATTATTTAAGGCTGATATTTTACTAAATTAGTTTACTAGTAAAACAGCAGGAAGCAATTCTAAGACGACGATACCCCCTCTCCCAAAGGTTTCATGTTTCTCAGGATTGTGGACGATGGTTATAGGGTTGGGGGGTAGAACAAAAAATCAGACTTGTTATTCTCCTTAAGAAAAGAAAAAGGGGAATGGATAGGTACAGGATTTTAAAGTAGATTGTTGTATATACTAGTAAGCTAATTTTGTAAACTAACTTTAGTCTAGTGGCATGATAGACACTGATGGGCCCCAATGAGGAGGTTAAAAGTGAGTTGGGGTTAGAGAGATGTCTCAGTCAGCAAGTGTCTACTGTGCAAGCGTGAGGACCTGAATTCAAATGCTCAACACTCCTGTGAAAACTGGGCGTAGTGACAGATGCCTCTAACCCTAGTGCTAGCAGGGGCAGAGACAGGTGGCTCCCCACAGCTTGCTGGCTAGACACCCAGTATGTTTCTGGTTCAGAGGGACACTGTCTCAAAATAACTAAGTAGCTAGATAGTAGAAATCCATAGGGGAAGATACACAACATCTGGGCTCCACAACATGTGCACACAACTTTCACATGCACACGTACACTATACATACATACATACATACATACATACATACAAAGTACTTGGTTTCTAGTTATAAAGAAGGTGGAAAGGGAACCTGGCAAATTCATGTCCATCACACCTACATTATGATTTACCTTATAACCATGAAAGTCTAGTATTTTAATCATTAATAAATGTAAAAATATAGGCTATAGTTACAGGAAATTCTCAAAAATAACGATTTCATATACATTACTTTCTTGATTTTTGTTTTTGTTTTTGTTTTTGTTTTTGTTTTTGTTCCAAGACAGGGTTTCTCTGTGTAGTTTTTTGTGCCTGTCCGGGTTCTCACTCTGTAGACCAGGCTGCCCTTGAACTCACAGAGATCCACCTGGCTCTGCCTCCCGAGTGCTGGGATTAAAGGCGTGCGCCACCACTGCCCAGCTCACTTTCTTGATATCTTTTTAATTAATGAAACATTTCATTGTTTTCAATAAGCATGCTACTAGGTGTGAATTTGTTCTATTTAAATATAAAAGGGAATCAGAGCAGTGGTGGCGCACGCCTTTAATCTCAGCACTCAGGAGGCAGAGGCAGGTGGATCTCTATGAGTTTGAGGCCAGCCTGGTCTACACAGCTGGTTCCAGGACAGCCAGGACTACACAGAGAAACCCTGTCTCGAAAGGACAAAAAACAAAGAGAGAGCGAGAGAGTGGGGGGCATTTTATTATTCAAATTATATATTAGGTTATACTGTTATACTATGATAGTACTATATATATACATATATACATATATATAGTCATATATATTATACTATAATAGTAGTGAATCTTTATTTTCTGACACTTCTAATTCTAATAAATTATTTGTACAAGTATCCAAGAGGATTTTGATTAACAACATCCCTTACAAAAAAAAGTGGAAGGAAAGAACCAGGTCTACAAAGCTGTCCTGTGACCTGCATATTCATACCCCAATCATAAAGAAAAAATGTAAAAATCACAATAAACACTAACATATTCCTGAAGGACCAGATGTGAGTTGCTTTCCATGCAGGAAGAGCAGAGACTGCTCTTGTGATGATCATACAAAAGGCACAAAGATTTTGTGTCTTCCCAGCAGAACGTGCTGTCTTCGTGCTTGTCTCAGTGACAAAGCACTGAATGAAAGCAAATAGGAAGGCTATACTTTGGCCCACAGCTCGAGGGGCACGGTCTAGAGCGCAGGGAGGCCACATGTCCTCAGTCAGGAGGCAGAACCCACGTTCTTGGCCCTTTTAACTTTGATTCAGTCTAGGATCTCAGCCCAAGGGATGGTGCCACTCTTCAGGAAGGGTCTGCCCTCCTTCTTTAAACCTTTCAGGAAACACCCTCAGTAGACATGCCTAGAGGTGTACCTCCTAAGTGGTTCTAAGTCCAGTTGGCAATAAAGACTAACCATCATACTTGCTTAAAAAATCACCATGGT